TATGCCATCAGCTAAAGCAACATCCAGATAGATAGAGAGACGAAGCTTGCGATACGAATATCCCGTGTCCAATACATTATTTAGAAACGTTTATTGCTAAGATAAATTCAGTAAGGAGTTTAATAGCCACTATCAATATTTGTACAACAAATAAGCAACGAGAGCGACCGGGCACAATGCGAGACGGTGTATAATGTAGTATCTACAAGATACAACCGCAATCGCAGCCACAGCAACAGCAGCAGCAGCAGCAGCAGTCGCAGCAGTCGCAGATGCGTATGGCGAATTAACACAAGCGCGTTAATACAATTAGTTTAAAAGTGAAAAATCTCGTATATAAATACATATAAAATACGAAACAGCAAAGAAAGAAAAAAAAGAAACTGTTAACTAAATAATAAAAACAATAAAGAAATACGCAGCGAGGCTGTCGACAAAAAGCGCCACAACAAATTTGCAACTTTACACTCGTCGGCGGTTTTCAGTCGCGAAATGAAGCCACAGCCTCTGAGCTGAACCACAGAACGCGTGTGCCCCCACATAGAAGTGAAATATTAACAACAACTAGAAGAAAAACAACAACAACTGCAAACATGGTCGAGTTACTCAAGGCGCTCAATTTGACGGGCAATTTGCTGGCAGGCCTTGAAGACAACAGCCTCGAGAATGCCCCGAATCCCATTGCACTGATTGCCGCCGCGGAGCCGGGTCTCAATGCCACGGCCATGAATGTGACAACCACAAGCACAACAACAACGCTGGCCAATGCCACAAACAGCGGCGAGAAACTACAAATGGACGGCTTCGATCTGCCCGGCAATTATTCCATACTGATTAACAAGCTCGAACAATTGGCGCTGGGCCTGGACTCGGCGCTGGGCAACTTCACCATCGATCGCCAGGAGGTGGAAATCAATTTAAATGGCGCCTCTGCCAACGATGTGGCCGACGTTGCCGATGATCTGCTATTCAGCGATGTGATACCCGCTGCACATGCTCCAACAACACATATAGCACACGGTTCGCGCATTTACACGGGCGAGGAGGAGGATTTTGCTCATGTGGTCAGCGATATTTGGATAGGCGTCATTCTGACGCTGCTTATTGTCTTTGTGATATTCTTCATATGTGCTTGCTTTCTATATCACAAGTTTCAACAGTGGAAGAATTCATGTGAGTTTTTGTCTCTTTGCCGCGCGCCACATGGCGTATACTTGATAAGTTATTGCAGAAACATTGCGTATACGCAAAGATGAACTTTTTCAAAAAATGCATTTTTCGTTTGATGTCTTAATTTAGTTAATTTATCAAACTTAATTAATTTGTGGGCAGCGAATTTGATCGGCATATGCAGGTTATCGAATTTTTATTATTGCTATCGATATCGATTTAACAAGCTATCGAAATAGAAATTATAAAAGAGAATTTTCTTAAGTTTAAATTTATCGATAGGCATTATCGATTCTTCTTAATCATAACGCTTGCAGTTGATTTTTGTTAATGCAAAAACGCAATTGCCAAACGATTAATTCCACTTAGCAAGTTTTTAAATGAAAGACTGAATCATAAACACGTTAAGGGCTAAAAGTTTCATTTATAAGGTCTTATACGCATTTTGCCAAATCTCTGTTGAAATGAACAATGGCTCTTAAAATAGCCCATTTCAAATCTGTCAGTGTGTGTGTGTGTGTGGCCAAGAATTACAGGGTATTTGGACAATTAAAACACAAACAAATAAACAAAGTGCCAAAGCAAAGTCTGTGGACAAAGAAGTTACGCAGTAAATGCAACAAAAACATGAATAAAGCTCGAAATTGTGTGACGATGAGAAAGCTAATGATCATGATGATGATGATGATGATGATGATGATGATGGTGGGGAATGTTATTATGATGAAATGACTCACAATTAGACACGGCAGCAAAACGAATTCAAATAAATTGAAATTTTAGCGCTATTTATTTGCTTAGCGTGTGAAGCCAGAGAAGTCTTGTGACTTGGTGAGTTGTGAATATATTTTAAGAGCTTAGACAAAAGCATTTCAGAAATAATTCGCCGAATGATAAATAAACAAATGACTGTCTTTCTGTTTGACTAACTATTTATATTCTATTTTAGTCGCTTGTTTGCCAATTGCCAATTGTCAATTGCCAAATAATTGTGGTCTTGAAACCAGAAACAGAACTTCTGTTGCCGGCCAATTGGTTTGCTATCATAATTTGTGTCTGGCTTTGTTCTAATTATAAATTATAAGGCAATTAGCTAATAAATTCCCAGTTACAATGATTAAGCACGCACACACACGCACACGCACACGCACACTGAACATGGACACAGAAATGCATTTGGCTCTTATCTCTGTATCGTTGTTGGCCCCTTTGGGTCGTCTTTTGTTTGCCAGCCAAAAACAAACATAACATTTTCAGTTAATTAAAGCTGCAGTCAAGTGGCCCATTTCGGGCTAGAAGACCAGAAGACAGAGACGACTCAAGTGCTGTTTGCCCAGTTCGAGGCTCGATTACACTGCAAATTTGTGTTAATTAATTTAAATTGCTTTGTACTAAGGCAGCACGCCAAACAAAAGAATCGCCTTCAATGCCTGCTAATGGCCAAATACCGAGTTACTGGGCCACTTTCGTTTTGATTAGCCAGCCGATTGCTTGGACAGAGGTGCAACCAATAACAATGGGCGGCATCAAATGCAGGCAATACCAAGTGCTCAAGTACCCGAAAGAGGCCAATCAAGTGGTGAATGAACGATATCCATTTCAATGGGGCAAGATAACAATATAGGCAATACGATAGTCAAGTCCGTATGTCGCACAAGGGATTACTACACAGCACATTACCACATTCGCATTTGTTTATATTGTCTTATGCCACAGAGTTCGCATTGCGCTTTATTAACAAAGTGCGCTTTATGCGCTTTATTATAAAGTGACTCGTTCTCAATCAATTTCAGAATCGTCTATTTGCATTCATCTGCAACTAGCCTAAAAATTTGAAGAATATTTCGTATGCATTTCCTAGTGTGAAATTAGTTGTTTCATCTCTAGGGAATGCCTTTTGGCCCCTCTTCAGCGAACAATCAATCAAAAACATGAATAGTTTTTGGCTGCTCTGCTCTGGAATCTGCCAACTTGAAACATGTCTAGCCCCAGCATTTGGCACAAAACAAGTAGGAGTGCTTGCTCTAGTCAGGGTTGATCGACTACCGTATACCCTGAAGCTTCTATTACCAACAGCAAAGTCAGCTTGGTCCAGGAGAGGAAAGGTACTAGATGTGTATACACTGTTCTACAAGCTATTTGTTAACTATGGCTAGTGTTCTAAGCCTAAGAGATCTATTAAAAAAAAAAAAACAAGATTTTCAAGTCTGTCAAGTGGAAAGACAGAGAGACAGAGCAGACGAACAGATCGACTCGGCTATTGATGCTGAGAAAAATATCAAGAATATCGGAGATGCTTCCATTTCCATACATTTACATACATGCATAAATTTGCACCAAAACAGTATACCCTTTTTCACCCATTTTAAGTGGGTATTAAAACAAAACGTTAGAGCCACAACACTGCTCCTAGTTAGCATTGTCACGGCTTTGGCTTATTTTTGTTTCTGGCGATATTTATAAACATTTCTAGGCCGCACAGAATATACATAAATTTGAAATGAAGTCTTGAAACCATCTAGAATTCCAAGTGTGTTGAATATTTGCGGCATTGTTATGCAAATATTTAAAAATGATTTCGTTTATTATTGCTTATTAAGTGTGCGCCGAGCATACTGTAAATAATTATAAAAGAAGAACACATACTGTTGGCTGAGCAAAGCCGAATAACAAATACACTTGCACGCAAGTTAAACAAAAAGCAACGAGCACTGGCGGAAAGCTATTTAAGTTGGCTTTTACAAACAATGTGACAGCCGTAATATACATATTAAATTTAAGTACATGCGTGCATAATTATCAAACAACGCGACGTCACGCATACGCAACGTTGTACGCATTGTCTTCGGTATTACGGTGCGTATGAGTGACGTTTTTCGGTTCACGGCTGTTTAATTTCTTTTTAATGAGTTGTTTAACTCTGTGCCTGCTCTTCCTCTGCTTCTTCTTCTCGTTGTTGTTGTCAATGACATTGTTGTTGTTGTTGCCGTTGTTGTTCTTCTTGTTGCAGCTGTCATTGTTGCGGGCGTCACTTGTTTGTTTTTTCAACTGATTTGGCGGCATCTTCTCTTTTTTTGGTATTTGTATTTATTTATATATTTAACGTAAGCCTTTTGGACACTTGCAAATTAAGTTTTTTTCAATATGAAATGGTAATTAACCTGCAGCTTTTCGAAACTGTTTTTGCTGCTTGAGCAATTAATGAAAGAGAAATCAATGAAATTTAATCTATATATACATATATGCATAATATGCTGCACAGTTTAAAATAAATGCTCGCATCAATATTTTGTACTATATAGCTTAAATGCGCAGCTATATGGAATATCTTGCTGAGTGCACTTGTTGAAGGTGTTTTTCGAGCACTCTTTTTGACACATTCGGAAAATGGGAACCCTCGAACAAAGTCGTTAAACTTTTGCACTTCAATGCAATGCGAGTGGCTGGCAAATAAAGCGGCGAATTGTTAATTAAATTAGGCATTGATTAAATTTGCAAATAATTTATAAATCGCAAATTTGCAAATGGCAATGGCAACATCATCAACATCATGAACATCATCATTATCAATGTCATAAGGGAATTAAATGTGACTTTCACCCCGTTCCAGGCCGGCTCCAGCTTTAAGCAGCTTTGACGTCAATACATTTTCCAGTTGTGTATCAAATGTTTTTCACAGCAAGCATCCATTTTAAGCGGCTTACTTATAAGCAGATAAATATGTATAGATTTGCATATACACAGATCTCTATATATTGTTTGTTATTTTTGCTTTATTGAATCTAACGCGAATTTCACAAAAATATGCTAAATGAATAAAACCCAAACCCAGCCCCAGCCCAAAACCAAAACCACAACAAAAAAAAATACAGAGCTTTGTAAATGCCAAATTAGCAACAGTAACTAAAATCGAGTTTGGCAATGCAGAAGCCAATGCTAATGCCCGTAACAGGCCAATAACTAAACAGAGTATAACCCGCAAAACAGCCAACAGGGTTTAACGGGCGTTGGGTTTGGCCGAGTCGATATGATGATGCTTCAGTTTATAAGCCGCAAAACGTGTTGGATTTGTTTCAATGGCGCTAATTGCTTAATTGAAACTGTTTTTCCATTGCATTTACTGTTAGCTAACACCCGCCGCGACAGCGCCCACCCAGCCCGCGCCTGTTCTACCTTTCATAGCAAAATGTCAATTAGTATTTGCCAGCTAAAAGCCAAAAAATCGACAATAGACCAAATTAGCTCTTCGCTTGACACGCTCGCACACGCACACGCACACACATATCACACCACACCTTAACACACGCCTCGTTCCGCGTTCCAGCACATGTCACGCTGTCGTATACGTAATATACATTTTGATTAGCATTCTGCATACGCAACGTTCGACATTTGATATTTGAAATGCATTGCGAAAAATTGTTCCATTTTAATTGCAAATTTGTAAATTTACTGGAGTCCCGCATATCATCATAATTGGCCAAGGGGCAGCTGCAACCGACGCTGCTGCTGCTGCAGCATATTTCAATAATTGAAGCGCGCTATATTTTTAATTAGTTAAATGCGCGTTTAATTAGCTTTATAAATTATGCACATGCAGCGGTTAGTTGCAAGCTCTGCGTTTTTTCTTTCATTTTTTTTTTTTTTTGGTTTGCCGCTGACTTTGGAGTTTATTTTTGTATAATTTATAAATGTTTGTTCAACAGACAGTCGTGCTGGAATGATGGTCTTTCAGTTATGATTTATTTATGTATTTTGGCATTTTTTTTACCATTCGATTTGTTTGTTCGCCCGTTTATTTGTTTGTCTTTTCGCTGTCGCCGGAAATGAACTGCGATTTTTATTTATTAATCGCTGCATGATTTATGGATAAATAATTGTAATGCCCTTTTACTACGTAGATGAGCTGTCAGCAGCGGTTTAAAATTACGTGCAGCACAGGAACCTCAGAAAAGAGAGCAAAAGTCTTTTTTGAATTGCAGCAAATAAAATCAATTAATTGGCAGCTAAAAAATTTAATATGTAATTTGCTAAATGGACAGATTTTATACTCCAAAACTATATTTGAGTTATAATTAATTATTATTAAAATTCTGCGAATGATAGTTTTTTACATAAAGCATACGCACCGTTACCAATTCAAATGCTTTGAAAAAGCGCAAAGTCGCGCGCCGAACAGTGTTGTAAAACGATCAACAGCTAAGACGCTCTCACACAGCTGCCCAAGCGGCTCACATTAATAACGGCGCGAGAGAGCGCACAAAACAAAACAAAATGCGACGCGCAATTAGCGCACACACGCGCACGCACACAGAACTAATAACAGACGCTACCAGAGAACAACAACAACAACAACAACAGCAATGAACAAACACGTTCCACAGTTTGGCGGCGCCGCATGTTAACGACCGCGCAAAGAATGCATCAGGCAGAACGTCGAGCAGAGCGCGCCGAAGAGCAGCGCGACTTGGCAGGCAAATCAAGTAAGTAGACAGACCAAGACAGGAGAGCACAGCAACGCGAGAGAGCCAAAGAGCTGCAGCACAAAAAGAACGATAGAGAGTGCGAGAGCGAGAGAGAGAGCAGAAGAACTGGCTGGCTGTTAAATTGTATTGGCGACAAAAGCCAAGCGTCGCTGTTGCCGTCGTCGCTGCGTGTGGCTAGTTTTAAAATTAACCACAGCTGCAAAAAACAACAAAAAGCAACAAAAAAAAAAAAAATCAAAAGAAGAGGCAGACAAAGTCGCAGACTGAAACGAAATTCAATTAAAAGGCAACAGCGTAAAAGTGTGAAAATGCTGACACAGCCAAAAAGGGCTGCGGCTGTGGCTGAGCTTGCGGCCGAGACTGTGGCTTTGGGCAGCGATCAGCACAGACACAGGCAGACTCACACTCACACTCATACTCACACATATATGCAAGGCGGCGTCGCTGCTGGCGTTGCCTTTGTTGACTGTACAACGGGGCGTATACTCGTTTTTTCGGCTTGCGTGCTTTCTACAGCCGTCAGCCAAATAATGTGTATACGTTTGTAGATTTTTTTTTTAATCATATCTGTTGTTATTCTTGTGTTTGCTGCGCGCTTTTTACGCTTTCTACACCACCGACAACCACGATAACAACAACAACTACAACAAAGCTCGCCACACTTAATTTGCATATTTTTGCACAACAAAAATCGTTTGTGTGTGCGCTTGTCTGCATGTTAGCTGTCACGTTGACTATCTTTTTGGCTATTGTGCTGCACACACACACACACTCTCTCTCTCTCACACTCAGACTGAGACATGTAGTGCAGCAGCACCACGTCGTATGCGTAATATTGCATTGAAAGCGCATACAGCAACGAATTTTTTGTTGTTCTGTTGTTGCTCTATTTTTTTCTTTTTTTTTCTAGCTATTTCTGCTTAGCAACGTTTTTTTAGCTTTTCGCTGATTTTTGATACCAAAAAGTAGATTTCATGCTATTGTTTGTCGCCCGCTTTTGTTTCCCAAACGATATGCTCTTCCGCCAGACTGTCAAAAAAACACATACGCATACACGTACATATGTATGTTCCTAGAGGTGTATGTGGCAAAATAAATAGTCATTGTCTGATGATGATAAGAGTGGAATAATAAAGAACAATATTTCAAACAATAATACTCAACGCAAATTAAATGAAAGAAAACTTTTTCGCAGCACAAATGAAAATAAATATTGTACGCATCAAATTGAGCAATAACAAAAAAAAAAACAAATAAATGATCAATTGCGACGAATACATTCATTGATTGTTAGCTATAACATTTGTAAGCTCAATTATATATTCATGTACATTTTTTCACTGATTGAAAAGGGGGAACTTAACACGATGATAAAGCAAAAAGAAAAGCAGTTGAAATGAAATATGCGTCTAACGAAATTCAAACAGTCGCAGTTCAAATCTATCGTCCAGGCTAAATTTTAACATTATGATAACATTAAGTTCCTTTTATCTAAATAGATCAAATTAATATGCTGGTAGCTCTGATTCCAGTTCGTTGATTCATTTCGAACTAGATCCTTTATTCCTTTCTCTCTTTTCTCTTTTCTCTCTCTCTCTCTTTGCCACCCCTTTTTATCGCATGCCCACAAAACCACCGTAGACCACCCCGTTTGTGAAATGACAAACTATCTTGAGTATTGCTCTCTAACATTTGCTCTCGCAATAAATATACGTTCACCCACCCCCCTTGCTGATCCCAAATCGAAGTTGACAAAGGGGCTGCAGCTGCTGTTTGGCCATAAATATAAAAATGAAGGCCGTCGAAAGCACGTTAAAGGTACAAGATACTAGATACACACCCCGAATTGGCACACTGACATTGAGGTAATTGCAGTAAGGGTTGCGGGTTGCGGGTTGCGTGTTGCATTGGTGGGCAGCAGCAACAATTGCATAAAGTAATCATAATAAATGTATTTTCATTGGACTCATATATCTGCTTATATATTAATGTGTATAAATGCTCGTTGTCTTAAATTACAAAATTATACTTCGCCGACTTTTTGCGTGCGTTTGTCTTTTCGCTTAGCTTAAGATTCGAGAAAAATAAATGAGAATGTATCCCTTAAAAATGAGTAGCTTAAATCAAACTATTAAATAAATATATATATATGACATATATGTGTATATATATATATGTGTATAAAAAGCATTTCTTACTGTGAGTTGGGTATGCTGCAGTTGTCACATATGCACACATACATGTACATATATATATATATATAGCTAGACATAATTTGGAATTTGAGCATGTGTAATATTAAAGAGTTTACACATAGCATAAATTGCATAATTCGTGACTGGCAATTAATTCGCTTGCTTCATGATAATTTATCAAATTACATAATATTTGCATATATCAACAACTCTGTAAATTGACTTTGTTTTTCTCGCTCTTTTTCTTTGTGGAAAGAGGCACAGATATATATATTTATATATATATATATATATATATATAATCATTCAATTCGAAATGTCATGGATTTATTACAGACAATATATCTGAATAAATCCACAACAATTCAAGTTAAATGCAACTCGATTTGTTCTTTGCTTTTGCGCCTTCTTTGTGCAGCATTAGAAATTAACAATTCATATTGAATCTTAAAATTATTTACAATTTATATAGTTTGACTGTGCATATAAAAAATATATGATGTATATATAAACTCTTTGCAGTCTCTTATTATTTTTTTTAAGTTTTTTTTTGTTTTTCTTCTTTTTTTTTTTCATATAATTAATGCTTTTAAAACGTAGTCTTTTCTGTTCGTTAATGTTAATTAAATGCGAAAAAAAATGTTATCGTTAGATGATTCTTCATCAATAGGTTGACTTCATAATGATAATAAGTCTGTATACATAGAGAATACTTAATCCCTGCAAAATTGAAAATCTTATAAAGAAAGTGAAATCGTCTCCAAGTCTGCGAGGTTTACACTATGCTACAGAATTTCAAGTACAGTTGCATCTTAAGCTAATGAGTAAGAATTGTGGATTGGAGTCTGATAAGTCTTTAGATTTCCGCCTGCTGTCCAACTACAGTAAAGTAGCTTGTAATCTTGCGATTAGTCTTCGTTTTGCCATTGCTGGACACGGCGTCCGTTGTTGAGCCGCTGGACAGCGCATTCTCCTTCTCCGGCGTGATCTCCTCATCGTCATCTCCTTTGGCCGGCTCCACTTGCATCGAAACTGTGACCGAAACCTGAGCGCAGCCCCCGGCAGCCGTGCCAGCGCCTGCATCAGCTGCCAGCTCAGCCATGTTGTGTTTGACGCCCTCAACCACTGGGTTTGCCGGCGGCTCTTCCACTATGTCGTTGAGTGTGCTCAGGCTGCGCTTCAGCTCATTGAGCAGCTTCTCCTGTGCGGCAATCTTCTCCTGCAGCTTTTCGCGGCGCGGACGACGCGTAACGGGCTTCGATTTGGTGTTATCCGGAGATGCCTGCTGCTCCTGCGATTCGTTGGCCGCCTGTCCGCCGTGTTCGCGCTGCTGGTGACGCTGCAGATTGACGCGCGAGGAGTAGCCACGCTGGCAAGAGGTGCAACTAAACGGTTTCTCGCCTAAAAGAGAACGCATAACATTGGATCCAGTCAGTCACTAGAGATTATAGCCATTCACTTACCGGTATGCCTGCGCATGTGGACGCGCATGTCGATTTTGCGGGAGAAGCGCTTGTCGCACATCTCGCATTGGATGGGCTTGTCGCCGAGATGCGTGCGCCGATGCACAATGAGATTCTGGCGGGCACGGAACGCCTTGCCGCACAGGTCACAGCTGTAGGGCTTCTCGCCGGTGTGAACGCGCACGTGTATGGCCAAATCGGAGCTGCGCACGAATCCCTTGCCGCAGCGCTCGCACTTGTAACGTCGATCGTTCTTGTGATGGCGCATATGCAGCGCCATGTCCTGTTTGGTGGCCAGCGGCAGACCACATAGCTCGCACTTGAATGCCTTCTCGGTGCGATGTCGCAACTGATGCTCGGCCAGCCGCATTTTCAAGCGGAACGCACGTCCACATTGGCCACAAACATGCGGCTTCTCGCCGGTGTGCAGCCGCAGATGATCCTGCAGCCTAGAGAAACGCTGAAAGGTTTTGCTGCAAAAGTTACAGGTGTGAATGGTGCCGTTACGCTGCGATTCCTCAGATGATTCACGCTTGATGGAGGCCGCGGCATGGCTATCATCCGTTGAGGTATTGTGTGGCGTTACGCTCTCAGCGTCTGAGTCGGTGTCCTTATCTTCCTCCTCCAAATCGTCATCCTCATCCTTAATATCGACCACGTAGTCCACATAGCTGCGTGATTTGCGCGCGCGTCTCGGTTCCACTTCCTCTTTGATCTCCTGCTGCACGTGCTCTTTGTCTTCCAACGGCTGCTGTCCTTTTTGCTCATTGTCCTCATTCTGTTCCTTTTGCTCCTTTGGTCGCTTATGCAGATGCTGCTCCTTGTCCTCCTTTACCCCCTGCACCTGAACCTTTTCCTCTTTCTGTTGCTGCTCCTTCTTTCGTTTCCCCTCCTGATTTATTGCTCCTTCCTGCTGCACCAGCTCCTCTTCTTCCTCCTTCGGCTGCTCCACGGGCTGTGCCTGCTTTTGTGCCTTGCGGCCTCGCTTGCGTTTGCCACCGCTGACTGTGGCTTGACTCTCTTGTTGATCGTTTTCCTGCTTTGGTTTTTCCTCCTTTTTGCGCTTGCGTCCTGCTCGCTTACCTACGGGCAGTTTTATAATCATCTTGTTGACCTTGGGACTGCGTTCGGCAGCAATTTCCGCCACCATGGCGCTTATCATTGCGAGATCATCTTTATCAGCTGTTTCCTTCTCCGGCGGCGGCGTCTCTGGCAACTCCAGTGCCTGCACCTGCACCTGCAGCTGCACCTGCGCCTGCGCCTGAGTGGAAGCGGAAGTGGACTTGCCATGTGCCAAATCAGATGGTATGCTGACCATGGGCTCGCTGGGCTCCTCTTTGGGCACCAAAAGCTTGAAGATGCCATGCTTCTCGCTCAAATGCAAATGCAGTTCCCTGCGCTGCTCAAATGCATCATTACAGGCAGAACAAATAAGCTGCTGCTTGGATATGTCATCCTCGCGCTCCAGCAAGAGCAGCTGCGCGCAACACTTCAAGTCGCTCAATTGGAGCCCGTCGCTTAGCTCCAGTGGCGGCTCGAGCTTAACTTGCTCATCAGCCGGCACTTTGGTTCTGACGCGTTTGCTCTCCCGCTCCACCTGCTGCTGGTGCTCTTTGTGCCAGTGCTGAGAGAGCCCCGACGCATCCCCGTACAACAGAGAGCAGCTAACGCAACTGTAAATGAAACGATGCGCCTTCTCATCCGCGTGTATTTTGGCAGCCACAACGGGTAAGGAGGCGGGGACGGAGACAGCGACATTAACAGCGACGCTTGCGCTGACGCTGGCGCTGGCGCAGGGGCTTTTTGAGCTTTTGCGTTTGTTTTTGTTTTTCTGGTTTTTGTTGTTATTTTTATTTGTGCTGCCCGGTGGACGCCCACGCGGCTTGCGCGACGCTGGTATCGGCTGCGGCTGCGACTGCGGCTGCTGCTGCTCTGCAGTTGTCACTTTACCGTTACTGACCTGCGACTTTGCTGCGGCCGCTGCCTTTAAATCGTCCAAGCGTATGCGCTGCGCCTCCAGCTCAGCCTCGTCTTCGCTATCGATTTGAAGCACAACATCATCGGCATCGTCCAGCAATATGTCTTCCTCTTCAATATCCAAATCCGACTCAGAGTCCTCATCCGATTCGTCCGTGTCGTCTGTTGCGCAGCGCAGCGACGCAGCTGCGACGGCTGCTACTCCATTATGCTGTGTCTTTTTTGTTGTCGCTGCTGCGCTGTTGTTGCCGCTGCTGGCCAGCTTAAGCGTGGTCGGCATCGGCACATTTGTCATTTTTAACATGTCACAATACCGAAAATGATTTGTTTGCGTTTTATATTAATTAATTCCACCTTTTTTCTTTTAAATTATTATAATTATTATTGCTTTGAGAGCACAGCAACGCGCACCACTGAGGCCACTACAACAAAACTAAATCCACTGACGCCGCTGGCAGATTTTTTAACGCTCTTGCTCTCTTTTCGTCACTCTCTCCCTCTCACTGCGTCTCTTTTGTTCTTTGAGCGCGCAGTATTGCCAGATGTCGGTTGAGTGAACTTGGTTCACTGATTCGTGCTGCCAGACAATAACAAAGGAGATCATTATTGCCACCCTGTTAAGATCTTGCGAACTTAAAAACGTGTGGCAAGCCTATCACTGTTAATGAAATGTTACTAACATAATAAAGTGCTCACATAACAGTTTTGCTGCGGTTCTACTATAATATGACGCGAGAGCAGAGCAAGAGCAAGTTCACAAGGGTATCGATGCTATTAATATGATCAATCGATTTCGATGCCTAATCGATAATATTGATGTTGGCGATAATATAATCGAGGTTTAAGCACATTTAAGCTAAAAGCAGCTGCTGGCTGCTTGGCTAATGTCCTTTTGATAGATATTTGACTCTTGCGCAACCATATTTGGCACTCGGGCCCACAAGTTTTGTCTATGCGGCTCACGCGCTCAATTGGCACGTTTTAAGTGCTGCCTCCAGTGCATCTTTTGCCGTTACTTTTCTTCTTTTTTTGCGTTCGACTTGGTCTTTTTGCACAACTTCGTGGTTAACCGTTATGCCCCAAACACACACAAATATACTATATAAATAGCAGACCAGCCCTATTGTGTATATATATATATATATGCACACTTTTTTTTATCAAGCCCGAAGCAAGTGTACATTGTTTGGCCGCATTTTGTTACGCCGGGCAACATGTGCAAAAGTCAATTTGAAAATTGCGGCACAGCCAGCCGCAGCAGTGCCGAGCTCCGCCCTCAGCCCTCGGCCCGCCCCACGACTCACGACTAAACAGGCTGCTGCCTGCCTGGCAACTGGTACTTTGTGGTCCGCAATCGCAGTCGCAGTCGCAGTCGCGTCGCAGTCGCAGTCGCCATTGACGCCGACGCACATAAACAACATGCTACGACGCCCCCCTCTAACCCCGCGCGGACCCATTGGCAAGTTGTTTATATTGTTTTTAATAACATTTGACGCCGCGGCAACATGTGCGCTGTGCACTGCATAAATAACTCTAACTGCCTATGCGGCATTATAAGTCAAACACTTTAAAGTTAAATTAATAAAAGCAATAAACAACAAACGGCAAAAGAAATAAATACTATATGCAATACAAATTATTTTTCAGGCAAAAGCCAAAGAAGAGCTCAACGAAAACTAAGCAACAAATAAATAATCAAAGAACAACTAGATATAGAGATATTATTAATTAGCTACTATAACAGGTTGTTTGGCTTACCTTTGCCAATATGATGCAGCGAGAACATCTGCTTGCCAAATTGTTGTTCATTGTTAACGTAAAGTTAAATTAAGTTTTTTGGTCTCATTTTTGGGATTTGCTCATTGTGCGGGCGACTTGGCCAAAACTGAAATAAAGGCACGGGAAATGAAATATTTGCGAACAAATAGACACACTTATTACATTTTCGTCCTGGCGGCTCCTGCTTCCGCTCCTGCTGCTGCTGCTGCTGCTCCTCCTGTTGTTAATGTTGTTGTTGAATGCTTTTGGCGCGTGTTCCCTGCTCCGGCAATGTCTTCATGTTGTCTGTTTGGTCCTTTTTATTGTTGTTGTGCCTTCAACTGACATGCCGCAATTTTTCTTCATTTTTTTTTTTGTTGTTGTTCGCTCCGTCGCACATCCCCCAAGATCCCTGAGATGGATGGGTTACTTTCCTAATAATTTAGCAGTTAGTTTTAATGCGCTACGCCAACTAAGTCTACTTTGGCTTGACTTAACTGGCGGCTAAATAAGCACAGAGCAGCAAAGGATATAAGACAAAACAAGAAGGTGACGTTTTTTGGAATTCCTCAAATATATGTACAACTGTACCACTAAATATATATGCCAGTTTGTAGGTATTCTTGACATTTACCATTTGCAGCTCATACGAAAGCCCTGGAGATCGAACCAAAGAACATTCACGTGCTCGCAGTCAGGCCAACATGTTCATAATCATTTTTCTTGTTTCCACAACGCCGCAGCTGAAGAAAAACATTGCAATTTCCTCGGCACAACGCGCTGAGCAGAGTCGACTCCAAAAACATGCTTGTTCAGAGTGGGCAACAAAAAAAAAAAATATTTGCATGCGCATACCTGGGCACAAGTTTAATTAGTTAAGCGAATGCCCCGCAGCCCCCCTCCTCTATCCTGGCAGACGCATAAACCTGAGAGTCTCAAGTGTTTGACATGAATCAGACTCCACTGGGAGGCATAGGTTGCAGTTAACGCCTACAGGATAATCAGCCAGACATTGTCTGACAGCCACAACTTCAAATATAAACCTGCAGCAGAACCCACCCGTGGTTTGGTGGGGTAGGGCGGGGGGTCAAGGTATTTTGGAAGTTGCCGCTCCCCGGCCGGCAACTAACAATAGTCATAATAATGCTTCAAGGCCGCCCATGGCCCCAGTCGGTCGCACACATTGGGGAGAAATTTAAACGGCAATTTGGTGCCGTGTTTACCAACCCCAAGGACAAAGGACACGGCACAAGCGAACGACAGCAGCAGCAGCAGCAGCATCCAAAAACTGTGGTTTGTTGGTTTTTTTTTTTGGGCGTCTTCATGTAAAGCGGACGGCACGGAGGGGAACAACTGCTTACGTGCCTGGCAAGCATCACACAGAGACCAAGGAGAGCCCGGCCCCCAATGTGGCTGTTGTTATTCTTGCTTACGCCTGACAGGCATGGCCCACAACCATGTCGCCATTCACATCCTACTCCGACTGGGCACGTCATTTTTGGCTGCTTGAGCTGAGTCGTTTGTTTTCTTTTTGCCTTCGGTTTTGGCGCCCAAATCCGCAAAAAACAAAAACGAAGTCTGTTTTCGGCATGCCGAACACCAAATACCCTTCTAGAAATATATGGCTAGGATAATGGGGCGGGGAATATAGAGGCTTGCAATTCCGTGAAGATATGTGGATTGACAGAAAAGTTTTGTGTATAAAAAAGGGTTTCCAGGAACACACAAATTAACTTGAGTATCAATCCAATCAAGAGATAAACTTTCGCTAAATTTTAAGGACGACTCAGGGGAGCGAGTTTAAGGCTTCCTCTTGTAGGCATCACATAGCTCATAAGAAAACCATAATACCCTCGGGAAGGGTATACAAACGCATTGCCAGCACAGCCCCCAACATAAAGTGTGTTTAACTTTTTCGTGAACGCCCAAATATCTTTGGCCTGCCTTAGGTTATGCTTTTTTGCTTTTGCTTCTTGTTGTTAGCTCCCGCTGCTGCCATTGCTTCTAGTTGTTAGAGCTTGGGCTCTGCATGACCTTTAGCATATTGACTAGTGTGGTTTTTGGTGTCCATTTTGCTTTTGGCTTATAACTTGCGGCGCATACTTTATGCACAACGCACTTACACTTTGTGCCTTTCTCTTTTTATATACATATGTATACAGATACCGTTTCGTTCTTTTTACTGCTGCACTTCATTTTATTGTGGCGCTAAGCTACGCTCGGGGAATTGAAATGCGTATATCCTGGGGGCTTATGGCGACAGACAGTTCATCAAATGAAGCTTTTAAGTGGCGCCCCCACCAGCTCATAATTTAATATTCGATGCTGCTTTAATACTGAGAGACTCGACGCCGCTTTAAGCATCGATACTAGATAAAATAAAATAAAATGCAGCCACTCTGTTTGGCATTATCGATACTCTGCAAGCAAACAGATTAGATCAATAGATATGTCACTAAATCAAGTCTTTTTACCGCAAGTGGCGACCCCACCAGCTTATAATTTAAGCCGTCGCTTTTAAAATCAATGTAAGGCAAAATGAAAATGCAGCCACTCTGTTTGAAATCAAGCCAGGGCAGTCCTGTCTTTATCGATACTCCGAAGGCAACAGATTAGATCGATAGATATGCAGCATCGATATGTAAGCAAATCAAGTCTTTTCACCGCAATTAACAAAAGTCAATTGAAAATTACAGAAAGCCTTAAGCTCGCTGAGCTGTTTGCACAACGGAGTAGCTTAACGGAGTCAGGATGGGTTTACCATATGGCTAAACTACCCTAAACCAATCCACAGCCACTGCTTCTACACACAAATGACAATGAGTTTCCATTTTGTCTGCTGCTCGGCTGTGTCCTGTGTGCATCATCAATTTAATTTCGTAAGCTTACAAAGCGTTGCATAAAAAATGAACGTCCGTTCATGTGGGTGTGAAAACGCTCCCGGTTTTCCGGTACCACCCCGAGCGCCAGCTTTCGAATTCCAGCCCACGCACAAAAGGGTGTGAAACGAAGCGTGCGCCATTTTCGTGTGTTTTTTAAAGCCACGCAGCATGCGGCTAATCTTCAAAATCGTGTAGCACGTCTCTAAACGCTTGCCGCATCAACAGTTTTCTCTATGTTGCTTGATGGGGGGCAGCTTGCTGCTGACTCACCTCTTACCTCTGTGAGGGGGGACATTGGTTAGCCCCCCACCCCCTTCCACACGCTGAACAACAGGGCAATTGCAATAAACATTTTTTGTTGCCTACTTTTAAGGGTTGGACGCAACTTGCACATTTGCGCCGGCGGGCGTTTCAGTAGCTTTTAACAGAATGCTGCGACATTTAAACATAAAAATTTCATTAATGTACACAGCACACGAGAACAACCCCACCCCTGCCCCCTCCCCCCATTTACCAAGCAATCCCCACAAGCACACACAAAAAACTAAAGGTAGCTGCATAAAAGCGGATCGTCCCAAGGGCACAACAGAATTGATTTGGCAATTTGGATTGTTTTTGCCTTTTCCTTTTGTTGCCGTGCGGATGTTGTATAACTTCCGGCAGCTAGTGAAGAGCTGAAAGAGGCATGGCATATATAATTGGTGAATTCAATTTGTCAGGGCTCAAACTATCAGCAAGACCTCTCAAACAATCCCACAAAGGAGCCAGCCTCAATAAGCAGGTGGTAGAGGACTATACGACTTGGGCAGGCTCCCTACTGTACAATAGACAAACTCAAGTTAAGGGCATCAGAAAAAGAAACTCTGATTGGCCAGAGCCAAACCCGGTAGGGCACAAGATCTGGGTGTCTCTGTTAGTCGCCTCGTACGACAAGCGGTGACATGCTGAGGAGGTATTCTGTTGCCCGCCAACCACACGGGTGTGGGCCAATGCACAATTGTTAACATTGATTTAATTGTGGAACATTTTTCAGATCGTGCCAATCATGGCGATGCCACCATTGAAGTCTGCCGCCACTGCCCGCCTGAATATGAGGTCGAATCGCTGCCCTCCTACACAATTGTCTCGGGTCTGCCCACTTATGACGATGCACTCGAGGAGTTCCGCAAAGCGGGCATTATACTGACGCCCGCCATAGTGCCTGTCATCAAGATATTTGAGAGTCTTAACAACGAAGCGGGCGGCGCCAAGGAGCCAGCGGTGGCGTATACCCTGGTGGAGACCTCGCCCAACGCTGCCATCGATGCCAATGCCGACACCATTTCACTGAACTCCATCACCTGCAGTTGTGGTGGCTCCTCGCCCACCGGCTCGCTGCCCAGCTACAGTGCTGCCACGGCAGCCGCTATGGCCAACGGCACACTGCTCAGCCCGCAGACCATAGAGCTATCGCCGGATCATCTGGCCTCGCTCTCCCAGAAACGCCTCTCGCTGCAGATCTCATTCAACAACTCGCTGCGCCGCCGCTCCCGCACCACGCTGCACAATCATTTGCTGCGCTCGCGCGCCGTGGGGAACACCGCCGGCCTGGGTCCGATTGAGACAGCAACAGCTGCTCCAGCAGCCGCCAGCAGCACAGCAGCTGCCCGGCCCAGAGATAGCCAAGTGCTGCCGTCCATACATCGATCCTCGTCGACGGTGTCGCTGTCCAGCGAGCGCCAGCTGCTTGATCAGCGCTTGAGGCATTTGCATCATCGCGGCTCCTTGTACTGAGGAGCAAAATGCAAATGCGAAGCGCTCCAAATTCAATTACTTAACTCTTAGTCATAAGCGACAACAACAAACAAACAAAACTGATCTATAAACTAATAAAGTGTTTAGTAAAATGTAGCCTAAAATGTGCCAACTTTGTAATGAACGATTTCGAGTCATTTAATTCAAGAGAACATTGAGATATATGCAAACCTATTAAATGTTTATAAAAGGGGCCGAGAATTCAATTTCAAATTCGCCTTTCGCTCAAGCCTATTTGAAGGAACTGGCCTCTAGCTAAACAATTTCATATGGCAACACATTCAGGGAACATGCCTCCATGAAGGTGCGTTCCAACTGTCGTTTGCCATGGCAACGTGTTTCGTTGTTTATGAACGCCGGCGGCTCTGCTGACTTCTCGCAGTTGTTACCCATCAAGGATGAGCGGCACAACGCGCAGCGGCCTGGTGCCTACGCCCAAGCGACAGCTCAAATTTGTCAAAAAGGTAAGGGAAAAACCCATTTAGTTCGTAGACGTTCAGGCTAATCCGTGTGGGCGCCCAACAGCGCAAAAGTTACCATGCAGATACGCGCATGCCGTTGAAATTTGAGGCGCAGCCGATGCCTCTTTCGCTGCGTCCTTTTGGTGGGCTATTCAATCCTTTTGCCAAAGGCTGTTCGGTGCTGTGCAATCATCCAGCGCCGCCGGCCGTAAAGGAGGTCATCAACCAGCTGAAAACATCGCTGGCCGTTGAGGGCAAGAGTCCACTGAAAGCGGCTAAGGAGAAGCCGCTTGAGGAGCAGCTGCAGCCACATGAGGCGGACAACATACCGGAGGATCTGTTTCGACGTTATGCGGAAACCGATTCCAGGCCCATGACGCCCACCCCCACTGTGACCAGCATCCATACGCGAACCAGTGCGGGGTCCTTCTATCGCCGCTGCATTACGCCGGAGTGGGGCAAGCATGAGAACATTCAGCGTAAGAAGATTATATTGGATCTGCGGCGAACGCATTCGCAGGAGACGCTCTACTGGAAGCCCAGCTCGGAGCTGACCCAAAGCGGCATAGAGGAGGGTAAGAAACCAAAGAGTGCGGGCGCCAACGAGGATAAGAAGGCCCGGCGACAACAGTCCAATGAGCAACGACCCAAATCCTCGCTGGCCACAGCCACTCTGGCGCCTGGCGAGGAACAACATGCTGACGTGGAGCCAAAGCCGCACAAGACTTGCATCAATGAGCACGACATAAGCGATGAGGATGCGCGACGAGGCAAAAAGCGAAAGAAGCTGAAGCCCACGCAGGGTGCGTAAAGGATATTTTTATGGGAATATACGTATGTAACATTTCCATCCCTCTAGCCACCACCACATTTCATCTGAGCGAGGATCCGGAGACTCAGGTGGGCACCCTGGGACCCGATTCCCTGAATGCCAGCACCAGACCCAGCCTGATACCCAACTCAGCAGGTCTGCTGGTCAAGGATAAGCGCGAGCTTGACCGAGAGCCCATTTTACTCAAAGGCAGTTTTCTAACCGACGAGGCCTTTCAGGCGCTCAAAACGGACCTTACGGTGGATTTAATAGAGAACACCTTTGGCAGATATGTGAGTATTACCAGGATATACGAAATTCTAAAACATGCAAATATCTACAGCTCAATCGAGCGCTGAGAGAAGCCATCAAGTACTTACCCAAGGCAGTGCACAAGCCGACAGAGGAAGTGGACAAGACAGCTGTTAATGCGAGCTCCAAAATGCCACGCAAGTTCTCCAAATCTGCGACGCGTTTCGATGTACCCATGGATCTGTCCATGCTCAAGAGTTTGTATTAGATTCAAGTTTGTAAAAGCTTCTTCCGGCAACTTCTCCATTGTTTTCAGCCATGACGCCTTTGCATTATCTCAGCAACTATGTATGGGTCTCGCAGCAGCGCAAGCAGCTCTATAAGCGCGTCTTTCTCAAGTACCTCAGTCGCTGCGAGGAGCCGGAAGCGGAGCTGGCATTGGGCAATGATGAGGCGCCTCTGATTGAGTACAAGGAGCGCACAATGGTGTGGCGCAGTCTGCCGCAGGCTTTGGAGGATGTTTTAGAGTTTCATGGCACTGAGAAGAATGTGAAAAATACACTTCAACATTTGGGCTATAAGCCGGATGGCAGTGGAAATTTGGATTTTCGCGCCTGGTGCGGAATTGTCTCATTTGCCGAGCGATTGGCTTTGTCGGATCCCGCGTGCAGCGACGATGACTCGTGCGATGAGCTGGAGAAGGCTGACTTTAATAGCATGGAGCAGATTATTGATCAGTTTGAAGTGCCCAAAAAATTACGTGAAATATTTAAAATTATACGCATAACACACAAATTAAAGTATTAAATACGTTTAAATAGTTCGCACAAGCACACGAGATTTTAACACTGGAATTTTCGATAAGTTTCTAAATATTTGCCATTCACCAAATACGTCCACAAAACAGCTGTTGCTGCAAAGGTATCGATACTTTTGTAGACCTCTTCGCGTTTTTGCTTGCAGTTGCTTCATTTTCTATAATTAAATTAAAAAAGAAAAAAAATTCTGCATCATGGCCACATTAGAGGATAAATTACTGGGTGAAAAACTAGAGTATTACTGCAGCAGCAGCGAGGGCGAGGATAATGGAGACGATGGCGATGACGAGCAAGGTGCTCGTGGCTCTGGCAGAGCAGCTGCGGCTGGCTCCGGACTGACAATCAACACCGATCCTAATGCAGTGCCCCCGGGTGGTTTCCGACAGCAAGGCTCAACCAATACAGGACCTAAGGGCGTTGTGCAGGACTGGCAGCGTTTCAAACAACTCGAAGCAGAGCGGCGCGAAGAAACGGAACGCCAACGCTTGGCGCTGGCCAAAAAGCTTAGCATGACGACTGCAACAGCCGCCGAGGATGAGGAGCGCAAACGGCAAGAGGAACTGGATGCTGAGTTTGCGGAATTGATGAGCGAGGATTTTCTGCAGCAATATCAAAAACAGCGTATGGCCGAAATGCTGCGTCAAACTGGGCATCATCAGCAATTCGGCAAGGTGCTACAGCTGGCCACGCACGAGGAGTTTCTGTCTTGCGTGGAACAGGAAAACAAGCACACAACCATCATTATACACATTTATGAGCGCACCCAATCTGCCTGCAGCACGCTCAACAACTGCCTGGACACGCTGGCCAGCGAGTATCCGTCCATTAAGTTTGCCAAGATCTGCAGCTCCGTGGCGGGCATGAGCCGGGACTTTCGCACCAAAGGATTGCCCGCCCTATTGGTATACAAGGCGCAGGCGCTAATTGGCAATTTTGTGCGTTTAACTGACGATTTGAGCGACGACTTCTTCGCCTCCGATGTGGAAAGCTTTCTCATCGAACACGGCATTATAGTAGATAAAGCCTTGTACAACTAAAATCTGAGATCGTGAATTATATACTTAGATTAAGCTAGAGAGAGCTGACCAAATAATGTGTTCGAAAGTTTCGCATTTAAGCTAATCGCACTTAAATTTTAAGCTAAGTTTGTTTGAATTTAGTTATTTATTTTTCGCATTCAATAATTTGTTGTGTTACATTATATGTTTGATTCTTGAAATCTTGTATACAATTTATATGTAACTTTTGTTTTTTTTTTTTGTTTTGTAAATGAAAATGATAGAAAAAGAATGTCAATTTATTTTGCTTTATATTTATATATACAAAAGAAGCCAATTTAAAAATATATCTGAAAAATATATTCGAAATGCATTCGCAGCAGAATTTAAAATTATGAATGTACTTTATCCATATATGGAAATAGAACCGTCTTGCTTTATGCGGCAAATTCCAACTTTGATTCTCATCATCATCTCATATACAATAAACATAAGATTTATAATATTTAAGGGCTAATGAATGTACTTCACTCGAAATCGTACTATGTAAGATTTATACATATACAATATCTATATATATATATATTTATATAGCTTATAGCCTAACATAAACGGGCAATATAAAAATGATGTTGATAATAAAAGTTTTGGTAATCAACAAATTGGTGTTGCTTGTTTTCTCGTCACTTTTTGTATTTAGAGCTCCATTTGATTGGCATCATACTATGTATGAAATGGCCAATTTAGAATATTTGTTTAAAGTTTAACTAAGCCTAGTTACATATATGTAAGTATAAATTCAAGTTGTTTTTGTTTTGTTTTCATATTTGAACAAACACAATTTTTGTAGCACAGCGAGTAAATTTTAACATTGATGGATTTTTCGCACAATAACGCGAAAAATCAGCAAGTTATAAGTTGGTTAAGGCTAATAGAGGAGAGAGGCTGAAGTTTGGGCATTGCGAATAGGTTGAGCGGGGCAGTGAACGAGTTTGGAGCATACATTATGCAGATGTGATAATGGCATACTGTTCAGTTGGGATTGCTTAAGTCGATTGGCTTAAACTGGGCAAATTCTTAAATATGTGAATGGTTGTGTATTAAATTGAAGTCGAAATTGTTTTCACTTCTGCACCTTTAGCGTAGATTATTTTGGCTCGCCTCAATCGTATTGCTCGAGCTGTGCTAGCACTAGTTTAAGTTTTTTCTTTTGTTTTTCTTTTAGATAAATATAACATATATATCTTTTGGACACACAGACATTAGCTATAAATATTTTACAACTTTGTTTTAAATATCTATTAATTAAATGCTACGTAATTGTATATACATGGGTTTTAATAAGTTTTTGTGTATTTATAATATGCATATTTCATCTGCTCCTTTTTCTTCTTTTTATTTTTTTGTTAAATTTTCGACCTGATTTTTGTACTATTACGTATATATTAATATTGAGTTTGAGTTGCGTATCTTACAATATTGAACTCTTGATTTTGATTGCAGAATGAGTCTTTGTTAATAAAAAGGGCTTGAAAATTATGAAAATCTGTAATAATGTATGTACAAAAATGAAAATTTGTTTAGGTTTCTATGTGTGTCGTTGCTTTTGATATTTCTGTTAATGCTCAGTTCATAGGTTTCACAAAAGAAATGCACCTAGCTTATGATTTCTATTGACAATGTTCCCGAGTGTTTTGAATTCTGTTCTTGCCATTTTAACTAATTGTCGAGATTCTTGAATAGAATTTAAACATATATATATATATATATTCGAAAGGGTACAACAAAAGAATGCATTCAATTTCATTTCGTACAGCTTGTGCTGCCTGCTGTTTGTTGTGTCTCAAATAAAATTTGTCAATTTGTTGCAATATCCGTTAATTTGTATCGTTATAAACTAAAGAAAATCAGCCTTTTCTTGCTATACACATAAATACAAATACATAAATATATATACTATATAGATGTGTTTGTGTTTGTGTGTGTTTTGTAATAAAACTCCATTTAAAATTGAATTATACGCTAGTCAAATATTGAATTAATTAAATCGGTTTTTCAAATGTTGCTTGAGCCTGCGTCGCTTGCTTCCTACTTGGCCACCGGCTGCTCCCGCTACTGTTACAGCCGCGGCGGCTTGAAGCTCAACGTTGTGCTGCACTCCACGCTCAGCTGATGCTCCATGGTATCCATTTTGTCATAGTCAAGGCTGCCGCAGTCCGCGATGGAGTTGCGCACCGACGGCGGCTGCTCCGCGCCGGGCAACAGACCCACCAGCAACAGCGGCTTGTTCAGCGGTGCTGCTCCAGCAGCAACAGCTGCTGCCGTTGTCGCGCCGCCCGTCAACTGCTCGTTGCTGATGCTGTTGCTGCTGTTGCTTTGGCTGCCGCCGATTTGCTTCTCCTTGTGGCGTCGCAGCGAGGATCGCAATGGATACTGGCGTGGCACATTGATGAGCAGGCGGCGGGCGTTGCTGCTGGGATTGCTGCTGCTGTTGGGATTGCTGATGATGTTGTTGGGTCGACGTGTTGTGTACTGTATGGACTCGGCGCTGTTACTCAAACGGATGTTGCCAACTAATTTCGTGTGGATTTTATATACACAGGTTACGTATTGCATATGTATATACATCGGATGGCCGGGAGCGAAAGAAGAGAAACGAAAAACAAAAATTTGTTCATCAATTAAACAGGGCTTCAAAAAGAAATCGGCTTGCAAAGTTTATTTTCTTGTTGTCATTTATGGTTTTAGTTGGATGGATGGTTGTTTGGTTGTTGGACTCGGCTAATCGTGGCTGTGGTTGTTACAGTTGTTGTTGCTGCTGCTGTGGGCGTGTTGCGTTTTGTTGCTAACAGACACAAACAAACTACTCAAAAAATAAACGTGAACAACAATAACAAGCAGATTACACATAAAACACAGTTGTTTTTTTTTTTCTTTTGGATAAGTTAGTAGACAACAAATATAGACAACAATTACAGGAAATATGTTTAAATGTCTGCATGTGTGAGTCTGTGATGCGTCTGTGTGGGTGAGTGTGTGTCAGTTGTGTATGTGTGTGTGTGTGTGTGTGTGTTTACATAACTTTCTAAATGTCCTATACATAAAATAAACAAACAAAAGCTTAACATTTCTTTTAACACGAATTTAATAAATAAATGTAAATATTTGTTTTGAATACAAAAGGAATTCAAATTGTTTAAACATAAAAAGCAATAAAATAAATACGAAATAAATGTTTCGCTTTCCACATGCACGCACATACATACATACAAAATTATATTGATAAGATAAATATACATGAATATCATTAGAATTATAAATAAATATTTACGGTATAAATATTTAGATAACAAAAAGTTATTTTCTATTAAAATAAACCTAACTGACGAGTTTCGTGAA